GTGGGAGAGGGAGAAGCAGGCCTCCCGCGGAGCAGGGAGCCCGATGTGGGGCTCGATCCCAGGACCCTGGGATCATGACCTGAGCCGAAGGCAGACACCTAATGACTGAGCCACCCAGGCGCCCCCACATTTTCTTTTTTTAAATATTTTATTTATTTGTCAGAGAGAGAGAGAGTGAGAGTGCGCAGGGGGAGTGGCAGGCAGGGGGAGAAGCAGGCTCCCCGCCGAGCAGGGAGTCTGATGCGGGACTTGATCCTAGGACCCTGGGATCATGTCCTGAGCCCAAGGCAGATGCTTAACCCAGCCCCCCAGGCATCTCCACACGTTTTATTTTCATGTGTAGCTTAGTGACAAGTGGACACTGATAAGGATTGTGGTAATGGTAACATCTCTCTGATGGTGGGGAACAAGAAAAAGTGTGTGGGTAACACTGATATGAACGTAGATATGAAACTTCAACCATTTTCTAATAATAAAAAGTAGGAAATTTGATCCCTTTTACCATTTTTTTTTTTATCTGTCAGAGTAGAGGTGATAATTGGCAGCTAGGGGAAAAAAACCTTCCCTCATAGGGAGAAAACCAAGTGAGAGGCATGATGTGCTCCACACGGACTGCATGAGTGTTCTGCAGGCTGTGAGCACAGGGGTGGGACAGCAGGAGTGCTGAGGGAGTCCAGCAGGTACCCTCAGTGGCAGGGAATGTGTAATCGGCCTCTGTTCTGGTCCTGGGTAGGAAAGGATCATATCTGCTGGAAAATTTGGGGAGTGGTTGTTGTTTGTTTGTGACCATGGAGAGTTATTACCAGGATGCAATTCAGAGCACAGAAGTGAGAGAGCACCATAGGAGAGCAAGGCTGGGTGAGGCCAATCAGAGAAGAGAAATGCATGTTCCTGTGGAGGAGGAACTGCCCTTGGTTCTGGGCTGAGCAGTTAGTAAAGCAGAGGTTAGACAGGGTGGAGGGCAAAAGTAGGTGGTAAGTGTTATATAAGGGTGCATGCGTGGTGAGGGGTGTACCTCTGTGAGCTCCTGTGTGCTGTGATGGGTTCGCCTCTGTGGGCTGGTTGTCTCTCTGACACCCTCACTTGATCTTTTTTACGTCTGAGGTCCCTCCTTGGGCTGCTTAGGGCCTCTTGCCCTTCCTGCTGTCAGAGGTTGGAGTTCTGACCTGGGAGAGGGACCTAGACCCTGTTGCAGATACCTTGTGCTCCCCCAGCCACCCCGTCTCTGGACAAGGGCAGGGTCATCCATTTGGCAGAGACCTGGGACTCCCACTGATCCTATCTCCTTTAAGTCTCTTGAGTCTCCTTCCCTACTCCTGTCCCCACTGCTGCTGCCTGTGCCCTAGTCCATATGAGCATGACAGGCCTGCCTTTACCTGGGTGACATTGGGCCCCACTCTCTTTTCTTGCTGTCTTGCCCTGGGTATCCCAGGTTTCTTTCAGTGTATGGTGTCTATATGTTCCCTCCTTCATTGGTCTCCCCATCCTCACCCCAAGCCTTGCTTGACCTACAGGACTCCCTGGCCCTCCTGCTGTTTTGTGGTTTTGTCAGGACCATGACACTGAGGCATAGTGTTTAATGTCAGTCCTGCCACTCGTGGACTTGTGGTTTGTCTGGGAGCCCTTGGTTTTCTAGTCGATCCTCTGGGCCTGGCCTCTGTCCTAAGTGAGAGCAGACACGTGCCAGTCTCCGGCCCTCCCCACTCTGTTCCCAGAGTGTGGTGGGCTCCTCTTGCCTCCAGATGGTGGGCTTCTGCATAGGTTTGCGTGTGGGTTCCAGGCTGTGCCCCCAATACCACCTCACGATTCAAAAAGAGTTTGTAGTTACTGTTAAGAAAATTTAACTTTTTGGAATATTACTCAGCCATCAGAAAGGATGAGTACCTACCATTTGCATCAACATGGATGGAACTGGAGGGAATTATGCTAAGTGAAATAAGTCAAGCAGTGAAAGACAATTATATGGTTTCACTCATATGTGGAACATAAGGAATAGCATGGAGGACCATGGGGGAAGGGAAGGAAAACCAAATGGGAAGAAATCAGAGAGGGAGACAAACCATGAGAGACTCTGGATTCCAGGAAACAAACTGAGGGTTGCAGAAGTGAGGGAGTGGGGGGATGGGGTAACCGGGTGATGGGTATTAAGGAGGGCACGTGATGGGATAAGCACTGGGTGTCATATGCAACTAATGAATCATTGAACACTATATCAAAAACTAACGTTGGCTAATTGAACTTAATAAAAAGAAAAAAAATTTGACTTTTAGGAAAGGATATTTAAAACAAAACTATGACATGATTTATCTATTATTTATCCTTCTTGTCTTTATGTTCTAGCACAGTGCCTTATGTTACAAAAATGTTCAGTACATGTTTGAAAAATAGAATGGATATTTAAAACAAAACTATGACATGATTGGGCGCCTGGGTGGCTCAGATGGTTAAGCGTCTGCTTTCGGCTCAGGTCATGATCTCAGGGTCCTGGGATCGAGTCCCGCATCGGGCTCCCTGCTCCTTGGGAGTCTGCTTCTCCCTCTGCCTTTCTCTCTCGCTCTGTCTCTCATGAATAAAAAAAAACAAAAACAACAACAAAAAAAACTATGACATGATTTATATATGATTTATAATATTTCCTATAGCAGATTCTAAATTTTGTCCATGTGTTATGTTTTAGGAGGCAGCTTTCCGAAAAGTAGTACAAGCAACTATGGTGCGAGATCGCCAGCATGGTCCTGTGGTAGAGCTGAACCGGATTCAGGTAACAAGTGGAAATTGTTCCTAGTCTGACACTTCTCAGATGGGATGGTTTCGTGGTTGGGAGTCATGGCCCCCCACAGCTTGGGGGAAGAGCAAACTTTCTCATGTGCCCTTGCTTTAGAGAGTAAGGTGCCACCTGTCTGTGATGTCCTGTGGTGCCGAGGCTTCGAGTTGGGAATGTAAATTGTTTTCTTTGTAACAGAAGTAAGAAAGATTTATTTCAGATAATCCAGAAGAATGCATACAGATAAGCAAAGAGGGAAAAGTAAAAAGGACCATACTTCCACCACATAGTGATTACTACTGACATTTGGAGGTGTGTTTGTATGTTTGTCATAATTGAAACTGGATGCCTCTCTTTTGTAACTTGCTGTTTTTTTCCCCTTATTACATTGTAAGCACCTCTCCTTGCCCTACAGTGGGACTGTGGGATTATTTTTGCTGACCACCTACCCCATGTTCTCTTCGTTTTCTCTGTCAGATTTCTTTGCAGGGGGCTAGAAAGCTGTGCCCACTTTTCTGGGATATAGCAGGGCTTCTCAGCACAGCCCCAACTACAAATGTGTCTTCAGTTGCCCTCCTTGTGTTAGTTTCTGAGAAGCAGGGCCAGTCAGAGGCTCTCCATACATCAAATTGTATGTGGGGACAATTCCTGTTCTTACCAGCCTCATACCCTTTCTGGCTCTGAAAGCTTTCTTTGCATTCTTAGTAGACCAGAATCACTAATACTGTTCTATAATAATTGGAGAAATGAAAAGTAGGCCATTTCTGAATTAATCCTGCTGCCAAGTGTAGATAAACTTACAGTTTAAAAAATTAACTAAAAACAAGAGAACTCCAGCACTGATTATGATATTGTGTGCACTTGACATTTAACATGCAAATGAAATGGTCCCGCTTCTTGGAACAGAAACAGAGTTACAAAGAACAAATTCTTTGTTCCTTTATATTAACACATGATTTTTACCCTGATGTTGGTTGCATGACTAGATGTTTCTCCAGAGTTGATCTTGGGGGCATTTTGAATTAAGACACAAACTCTTGTCATTTGTTGGAGAATACATGTGACCACACTGATGGAAGTAGTCCCTTCACTGACGTCAGACTTGTTAATGCTAAGCTGGAGGTCAGTCAGCCCACTCTACAAACAAATGGGCTGTTTAATTAGGTTCATAAAAAAAGGTTTTATTTCCCCACCTTGGAGGATCATTTTGGTTTGTTTTACATTATTAGGTCTTAAACACTGAAGTTTGTAAGTGAGGAAAGCTCAACTAACACAGATGGTTGGGCATTCCTAGATCATATGCCTGCCCCAGCCACACACAGAGGTGCCTGGTCAGGGCCAGCGGCCTAATACGGGTATTCAGATCTGGGGCTTTTGGCATCATTGAGCCACGGTGACCTGGAACCCAAGTTAGGCATGTCTTTCCTGTCTTTCTCTTATCTCAGATTTTGGGTTCATCATGTTTGAATACCTCTTTCCTTCTTGTCTTTATGTTCCAGCACAGTGCCTTATGTTATGAAAATGTTCAGTACATGTTTGAAAAATAGAATGGATAAAGGACAAATTCATATTAGCATTTTAAAAATGCACATAAACAACGTTCAGTGCAGCATGCCATGGCTGCTCCAGTATACCTAGTGGCCCTCTGGTACCAGAGTTAGGTCCTCTTTAGCTCAGATTTCGTACTTCATACTATTTCATACTCATATGAGTATTCGTACTCAGTTCATATTTCATACTTCATATTTCATACTCCAGTATACCTAGTGGCCCTCTGGTACCAGAGTTAGGTCCTCTTCAGTTCAGATTTCTTACTTCCCTCCTGAAGCTAGAAAGATCTTCCACAAAGATGGACATAGAATTGTACAAATAGGGGGTGAGAGTGGGAGGTATTCCATTCATCTTGAGTTGAGCTCAACATACCAGTTGATCCAGAAAGGTGGTGTCAGCCGTCCTGTGGCTACAGGTTGCTGTTGGCATCAGCCTTCTCCCATGGGAGTGCCATTGTAGATATTCTCATACTGTCTGCAAAGTGTTCTAGAGACACCAAAACATAGGCATGTTCCTGGAGGGTTTTTCTTTGTTTGTTTGAATATAATTTAGTTTTATAACAGAATCTGAAAGTCAGTGTACATAAACATTTTTAATTTATAATTTATTGCAGAATTAATGAGCATGCTCATTTCTGAAAACTTGGAAAATTCAGATTAAAGGCAATTAAAATGACTTACATTCCTACTGTTCAGAAGTAGCCACAGTACATAGGTGCCTGTCCTTGCAGAGTCATAGCTGTGTTCTCATAGCCATTTCCTTCAGAGGAGCCAAGAGCATCAGTCTCTGTTAATCGGTATTGTAAATGGAGGTGATGTGACATTCATCAGAGTGGGAAGCTCGGTCTGCATCTTGTTTCTCATGGGTGGACACATCCCTCTTCTTTCTGTAGTTCAGTTTCCTCCAGGGATGTTGGGTACCTTGAAGAACTGCTGTGAGATTTAAATGAAATCACATTTGTGAACATACAGTCAAATGTGTGGCACAAAGAACATTTCGTTCCATAGGAAGCTATTATCATTATTGTCATTATTTGTAAGTCTTGTTTATGATTATTTGTGTGTGAGAATTAGCTATTTAAACTCACCCTAGAACTTACTAAGAAGTTAAGGATTGTGAGAGTTTAGTTGGAGGAGGCAACAGAAAAGTGCATTTTCATGAACATTTTTTTCCTTAACTTTTCATTTTGCCATTATTTTAGACTGAGCTTCTCAGGTGATTCTGAAGCACTATGTAGCCTACAAAACTGCAGGGTTACTGAGTCCACACCAGGTGAGGGCCTTGAGGGCTCTTGGTCTGATCTGTTTGAAAATACAGGTAGAAAAAGTGATTGTACTTGGGGGAGATGCAGTGACCCCAAGGGTTGGAGTAAGATACATTCAGATGAGTAAAGGGAGGGGAGGAAGGTTCCATTCTGGTGGTGCCTCCAGGTTTGGTCTCAGCCATTTTATTTGAAGCTCAGAGTCCTGACAGTCTGCCAAGGAGGGCTGCTTTTGGAGTTCCTGGCATCTTATTCATGGAGGCTGAGGCATTGTGGTAAAGTGGTTGGCCATGGTTAAAATTATGAAGTGTGAGGATGAATCATACTGTAGTTCCTGACCACATGGGCTGCCACCACCCTGTGTGAATGGCCAACCGAGGTCTGTGATTTCTTGAGGGACTGTTTACTCAGATACCACCAGTCCTGAGGGGTGATGTGCTGTGGCAACATGCTGCATGCACTCGGGGGAGCAGGGGCCATGTCTCCCATGATTAGAGCAGAGCTTCCATTAGCACAGCCGTCCAGCGGGCATCCTGTGTGTGAGGCCTGAGCAAGTAAACCTGTGGTGTCCAGTGAGGGGAAAGGAGTGTGAGACCAGTCTTTGAGGTGCTCAGAGGGTTTGTGTGCAGGAGGGAGGAAGAGGAGCCGTCAGAGAGAAATGAGGCTTAGTCTAGAAGCTCTTCAGCCTCAAAACACCTGGCCAGGTACTTGGTGAGATTGCACATTGGGTGGGCTTTGCTTGCTGAGTTCTGGTTGTGGGTGGTCCTGGCAAGTGTGCTGTGCTGTCCCTTTGTGTTCATTTCTGCCTTATGCCCTAACTCACCAGTCATGAAGGCCCTGAACACAGCATTTGCTTCCAGAGGGTTCTTACTGTGGGTGCTGTGAAGCCTGGTTCTCTGATTATGCACACGTTTTCTGTGGGTTTTGCTTTGTTTTGTTGGGTGATTGCAGCAGCATCTGAATGCTGCTGTCTGTGGGCTCCACTCGTGACAGCTCTTTAGGTCCAGCAGCAGAGTGCTGGCTGGACTTGTACCCTGGGGACCAGGGTAGAGGAATAAAGGATAACAAGGGGGCAAATGGCTGTAGGGCTCATTGTTGCCACAGATGTCCCAGGGCTGTGGAAGATAGTAGTTGTGTGCTTTCTGCTGCTGTTGCTGCTTCATACTTATTTCTTTTCTCATCTCTAGGTCAAACGTTCAAGGAGTAAAGGCGGCCTAGCAGGCCCTGATGGGACCAAGTCTGTCTTTGGGCAGATGTGTGCTAAGATGAGCTCGTTTAGTCCCGACAGCCTCCTCCTCCCCCACCGCGTCTGGAAAGTCAAGTTTGTGGGTGAGAACTTGCATGCACTGGCAGGCCCATGGTCCTGAGGGTTGGCAGTTCTGAGCACAGACACTAGTGCAGTGGGCATTACAAGGAGAGCTGAGAAGTCCATCTAGCTGCACCTTGCAGGGCTTGGCTGGCGTGACTATGAGTTGCTGACTCTCCTTTCCCTCAAGGTGAATCTGTGGATGACTGTGGTGGAGGCTACAGTGAGTCCATAGCCGAGATCTGTGAAGAACTGCAGAATGGACTCACCCCGCTTCTGATCGTGACGCCCAATGGGAGAGACGAGTCAGGGGCCAACCGCGACTGCTACCTGTTCAGCCCTGCCGCCAGGGCACCTGTGCACACCAACATGTTCCGCTTTCTGGGTGGGCCTTCTTGCATGGGCATGAGGCCCCAGTTACTTAATGTCTACTCTGTCTTGGGAATGACAAATACTTTGAGTGTTTGGTTTAGCTTTTTCAGTGTGCAGGTGCAGGGACATGCAGAGCCCAACCATCAGTGAGTGGCTGGGTGCTAAGGGCCAGAAAGTGGCACACAGAATATCTGAAATACCATATTTCTATAGCTTAAATGTATCTGAAACTTGGGATCGGATCTGAGGGGTTTTGGTAGTTGTTCAGTCCCTCCCTCCTATTCCAATAAGTATCTGTGCTGAGTGCTCCTGTTGCTGCCTGTACCTCTCCAGGTACTATACCCACCTTCCTTGAGAAACTCCATCTGTTTGTTTTGCCATCAAAGGAATGGAAACTGACCTCTGTGTGGCTTATACCTATTGGTAGAAAGGGAAGAGTTAGAAACTAGGCCCATAGGTACAAAAGGAAACAATGAATTTAGAATAGGACAGATGTTTTAAGGATGGACCTGTCTCCATGAATTTGGGTAACATTGGTTTAGAAGGCACCGAGGTCCAGTGTAGAGCTATTCTGTGGTGTTGATTGAACTGTATGTTTTATCATTGATTTCAAGTATCTCCTGTTACTTCTGCCTTGAATGAGCAGGTGTGTTACTGGGCATCGCTATCCGGACTGGGAGTCCCCTGAGCCTCAACCTGGCCGAGCCTGTCTGGAAGCAGCTGGCTGGGATGAGCCTCACCATTGCAGACCTCAGCGAGGTAACCACCAGGAAGGCGGGGATGGGGAAATGTGACGCCTAGTGTGCCTGGTACAGAGTGCAGGGGGCGCCCCTGGCTGCAGACTGCCTTCTAGTAGCAAAGAAGGTCTGGATGTTAGGCCAGTTTGCTTCTAGAACTTGATAGACCCATCTGTTTTGTGATGCTTTGCAACTTTAAATCTTGTCAGGTAAGAAAGTTCACCAATTTTCCTGTGGAGGAGCAGAGCTTGAGAGTGGCTGGGTGGCGGCTTTGGCTTTCAGGTGGGGAGACATGACTGGCTGACCACAGCCAATATCTTCCCTCTGGCCATACTTCCCTTGGTACCATGACTGTAGGGCAGGATCCATCTCCAACCAGTGGCTGTTGCTCTCTTAGTGGTTAATTTTAAGGACTTCCTGGAATTACAATCTCTTTCCTCAGCTCCCTGTGTGAAGTACTTTCTCACTGCCAATCTCTTATTTCCTGGCATGTATAATGCACCAGCAGCCTTGAGGTATGCCCGGTGCAGACTGAGACCCCCTCGTGGCTGAACACCTCAGGTGTGAACTGCAGTCAGAAGTGTGGTAAAGACCCTGACTTGACATGTGGGCTCTGTTTTTTCCCTTAAAAGGTTGATAAAGATTTTATACCTGGGCTCATGTACATCCGTGACAATGAAGCCACCTCAGAGGAGTTTGAGGCCATGAGCCTGCCCTTCACTGTGCCAAGTGCAAGTGGCCAGGACATCCAGCTGAGCTCCAAGTACACACACATCACCCTGGACAACCGTGCAGAGTATGTCCGGCTGGCAATAAACTACAGGTGGGGTCATCTGCCTTCCATTGTTTTGATTCAGTAAATAGCAAAAATAGGAAATAGTTTGCTTGGATGGCTGCATTTTTCTGAAATACCATACAGTAAAATGCTCGTGGACTTGGTTCCAACGATTGCTGATCTGTAGTCATCAAAGCTTACTTTGTACTCCAAGTCAGAGTATTCGTTATTCTTGCCTGAGATTCCTGGCTCTGACTAGAAAACCAAGGTGGATAGAATTGTCCTGTTTGGGGAGCTGTCCCGGCAGAAGTCACAGGAGCTGTGGGTGCCCCTCTGTGGTCTGTGAACTCTCCTGGGCAGCAGGGTGTCAGGGGTGGTCCCACCCCTGCCTGGCCCTCACACCAGCATTCCGCATGGTTGCTGTGCGGCAGGTCAGCAACGCCATCCATCTCGCTTCTGCTGCTCCTTGCTGCTTCCATCTGACATTACAAGTCCACACAGTGGACCTTGTTCTCCAGAAACACCTGGCCAGGTACTTGGTGAGATTGCACATTGGGTGGGCTTTGCTTGCTGAGTTCTGGTTGTGGGTGGTCCCGGCAAGTGTGCTGTGCTGTCCGTTTGTGTTCATTTCTGCCTTATGCCCTAACTCACCAGTCATGAAGGCCCTGAACACAGCATTTGCTTCCAGAGGGTTCTTACTGTGGGTGCTGTGGAGCCTGGTTCTCTGATTATGCACATCTAATTCTGGCTCCTTCCTGGGTGTGCAATAAATATTAGGAATTGTGTCTTGGAAGCTGTAGGTAGTTTTTAAGATTATCTTCTATGTGCCAGTGTAGGTGAACTCAGTATGTGAGAAGCTGTGTGATGCCATTTTTATAAGGTACATGCCTTGGTCATCTGTGTGGTAAGGCTTGGTATGAGCAGGACAAGATCTACGTTACCAAAGATAGAAATGCAAAGTGAGTTTTTTCTTTCAGACTCCATGAATTTGATGAGCAGGTGGCTGCCGTTCGGGAGGGAATGGCCCGAGTCGTTCCTGTCCCCCTTCTTTCTCTGTTCACTGGATATGAATTGGAGACAATGGTACGCCCCCGAGTGCTGCTGCCCTAGAACTGCCTTTTGCATATCGAGCCACCAAATCAGTGCCACTAGTTAACTTCTTGGTTAAATCTTGCACTTAATTTACATCTGAATTATGCTCATGCCTGGTGGATGAAGTGAAAACATGTTTGAAAAGTGGGTGTTCCCTGCCTGTGTCCTTCCTCCCCTTGCAGCCCCCCGTCCCACACCAGGGTGGAGCACAGGGTCAAGTGCACATCCACCTGAACACATGGGACCCGTCCCCCCAACTGTCCACTCTGGCTCTCACACACGTCCTGCCTGAAACAAGCCTTGGTAGAAAGAGTGATTGACTCTATACTGAAGTGAAAAGTCAGAAGTGTCAGCCAGCCCTGATGGTATGTCCCTCTGCAGGTATGTGGCAGCCCAGATATCCCTCTGCATCTCTTAAAGTCAGTGGCAACATACAAAGGAATCGAGCCTTCTGCATCCCTGATCCAGTGGTTCTGGGAGGTGATGGAGTCCTTCTCCAACACAGAGCGTTCCCTCTTCCTTCGCTTTGTGTGGGGCCGGACAAGACTGCCCAGGACCATCGCCGACTTCCGGGGCAGAGACTTCGTCATCCAGGTGCGGTTCCTGCATATCTTATGGTGTCAGCTGTGGGGGCATGCTCCTTGCACATGATCCTACAGCAGATTAGAAAATGGGACTCTCATGTTTGTGGTTTTTCCTTCTTCCTGGAAACAGTAATAAAAAGCACTCCCAACTTCTTTGATTTGATCACTCAAAATTTTATGACTATACGTCTTAGGTCTCACTTTCTACTTCTGGAAAATTTATATGGCCACCACCAGAAGGTATTGCTATTATGTCAGCATATTTGAGATTTTGAGCACACATGTCATTTAAAGCATGTCTTTGATTCTCTTGTTGAATTAGGTAAATTAAGTAATGTTGCTTACTGGGAAAAATAAGAGCACCCATCAGATTGAGAACAAGAGTCTTCTTTGATTTATAACTCTGTGGTTCAATGGTCAGAAACAGGCTTTGTTTATCTGCTGAGTCATGGGTGAAGTTAATTAACCCCCCTCTCCCTCCTCTACCCTGAGGCAACAGGTATGATTTTCCAGGTAGCAATACTGAGGGGATGGCAGACTTCCTTGGAGGGGCAGATTGGGGTGGAGGGTCCATTCTCCCTGCATGTTTGAAAGGATTTGGGGATGGGCTCCTTCCTGAGCACAGCCTGACTCCAGTCTTTGCCTGGGGGTGAAATAGTAGTCATTTGTCAGAGAGATCTTTGAGAGCAACATGTAGTTTTTCTCTCCCAAAGTACGTAATTCCTGGGTCCACAGTTCTTGCTGGCTTCATAGTGTTTATCTATAGTAGTTGAAAGGGGCTAATGGGTTTAAGGAGAATTCCCCAGGTAGGTGTGTGCTGAGCCCACGTCCTCTGCCTGCCTTGTGCCAGACCCTCTTCACAGCACTGATTTGTCAAAAGTAATTGCCACAGTAGCCAGTTGCTATTTTTGACTGTAAGTCCTAGGAATTATAGAGTTGCTCCTTTTGATTTCTAAAATGGGCTAGAGTATTTGTTTTCTGTACTTGGTTATTCTTAGCCAAAAATATTATGATTTTTGTGAGAGTCAAGAGTCTAATGAACATAGTAAAATAGATTAACAGTTCCACCTGTCCTTGTACATAGTCTCTGATTACTTAACATTTTTTCATCAATAGGTATTGGATAAATACAACCCTCCTGACCACTTCCTTCCTGAGTCCTACACTTGCTTCTTTTTGCTGAAGTTGCCTAGATATTCCTGTAAGCAGGTGCTGGAGGAGAAACTGAAATATGCCATCCACTTTTGCAAATCGATAGACACAGATGATTATGCTCGCATAGCCCTTACAGGAGAGCCAGCTGCCGATGACAGCAGTGACGACTCAGAGAATGAGGATGTGGATTCATTTGCTTCAGACTCTACGCAGGATTATTTAACAGGACACTGAGATGGAGAAATGCCATCGCAAGACACCACGAGACTAAGCAAGGAGGCAGAGTGCTGCAGTTTAGAGTGCAGGAGATAGTGTGTTTGATGAGAAATATTAGGTCTCTAAAATGCATGGGGGTGGGCAGGGAGACTGATCACTCATGACTGAACAATGAATGGAATAATGATCAGAAAATCAGCCTTGCATGTGGGGCACTATGTGGACACTAACATTTATTTTTGAGACTTAAGAGGGTCTTACCCATAATGCTGCATTACATGTAGGACTTCTGTGTTTACTACAATGTGTAAATGTTTATATAAATACTGAATTGCAGCATCCCCAAAATGAATAAAAAGCCTTTTTACTTGTGGGTGCAATAGATTGTTTTTTTTTTCTTTTTTCTTCTTTTCAAGTGTTGTGCATTGTCTTGATTGTACATTGGAAATACTGTGTAATGATTAAATCGTATTATAAATATTTCAATTAATATTACCCTGAATTTGTTTATTAAAAGTTTTTTGAACATTAAATGATTAGTATTACTTAAATGCATCTAGAGGTTATTTAAACCAAAATCAAAACAAAAAGGCCATTGGTCTCCCTCTTCTCCCCGGGTGCACATTTTAGCATATGCAGTATGTAACTTGAATTGAGGCCTTTCTGTGAGCAGTATCTATCATAGAAAGTATACTATATATAATGTTTGTGTCCTGTATATACCTAAATTTTAAGTCCCTATGAATAAAACATCTGTCATAAAAATGTAAACTGAACTTTCTTATCTGGTTAGACTAGCACTGGTGGATGTGCTACAACCAAAAAATAGTCTTTGATAGAGCATTAGTTAAAGCCATTCAAATCTAGTTTAGACTTTTTTGATTATAAAAACCAAACTCACTCCAGTGACAAAGGAGGAATGGGTAAAAGAATGGGTAGTTTCAAGGGGAGTGGCTGGTGGTGGGAGCTGGGGACCAGGAGCCTTCAGGATCAGTTCCCCTGTCCTCCAACCCCGCCTGTCCTGGTTCCCATCCCATTGGCCTGAGGTCAGGTGTGTGTTTCTGGTCCATTTGGCCATGGGGTAGGATTTGAGAGCTGTGTGTTCTAGAGTTGTGTGTATGGCAGGTTCTCTGCAAAGGGAAGGACTGAGAATAGGGTAGGAAAGTTGGCTAACAGGCCTGGTGTGCTCAAACTTGAGGTAAACTAGATGAAGGCAAAAGGAGATATTTTATGTTGGGAGACTGTTTCTTTATTCAGGGACACAATGTTTTGCACTGGAAAATCCAAAGAGAGAAAGTTTCTGGGAATTTATCCATGACCAAATTTGTGCATGCCCAGATTAGTCTTTTATTTTTACCTTGGCTCAAAATCTCCATAATCTGTGAGGTATTTTTTAAATCACCAACCTTTTTGTTGTCAGTCAGCTTTTGCTACATAACAAACTATCCCTAAATTTGGTGGCATACAAGATGCAACATTTGTTTCTCTCATGTATCTGGATTGGCTAGTCTTGGCTGAATGGCTCTAGACAATGGGTTAGGGCTCTGCTTCACATGCCTTTCTGACTACCCAGGGCAAGAGAACAGTTGAAAACAGGTGAGGCCTATGCTCAGAACTGAACTGTCCCTCCACCCACATTCTGAGGGCCAACTCCCTAACCAAGTGGACTGACAAATGTCTTTTGCCTCTAGAATAGCTGTTCTCAAAATCTTGTTCGAGGACCCCTTGGTTTCCCTTTCATGGTGTCCCATGAGGTTCTTCCTTTTCCAACTATATATCTACATGAAGCTAAATTTTCTTCATATCCTGCAACCAAAACTGTATTGTAATATATGGATGGCAGAAACAGAAATGAGATTCCAGCTATCTTCCCATAAGCCAGATGATAAAAAGATTAATAAACATGTTAACAGGACACTGAGATGGAGAAATGCCATCGCAAGACACCACAAGACTAAGCAAGGAGGAAGAGTGCTGTAGTTTAGAGTGCAGGAGGTAGTGTGTTTGATGAGAAATATTAGGTCTCTAAAATGCATGGGGGTGGGCAGGGAGACTGATCACTCATGATTGAACAATGAATGGAATAATGATCAGAAAATCAGCCTGCTAAATCACTAAATTTTTTAGTTTTGGAAAATAGTTTTTCAGAATAGTTTTCATGTTAATAAGTAATGGGTTTGTTGGGACACTTGCATGGTGCAGTTGGTTAGGCATCTGACTCTTGGTTTTAGCCCAGACTGTGGTATCGAGCCTCACATTGGGCTCGACCCTCAGCATGGAGTCTGTTTGGTATCCTCTTTCTCTTCATCTGCCCTTCCCGCTTGTGCACGCTCTCTCTCTCTTTCTCGCTCTCTCAGATCTCAAAGAAAAATAAGTAATGGGTTTATTTTATTTTAAAATGAATCAACATTTTAAAACATTTTAATTTTAATTTCCAATATGGTAATTATTGATAGATAGAACCTAGATAAAAATTACTGAATGAAAAAGCGTTCTGAGTCAAACTGCTGCAGAGGAGGGAACTGCAAAGTCATCACCAGAAGTGTGGTCCAGGGAACTGCAAACAGCTTGGACAGCCATGCCTTCTACCTACCTGGCTTTGTCTCTGCTGTGTTTGCACTGTTCAGAAGCAATTGCCTGAGACCGACCTACTTGTTAGGAGCTCTTTTTCTTTAACTTCAGAAATGCTGGAAGATTATCTCTTTCCTACATTTATTCCACTCCAAAAAAAAAAAAAAAAAATAGGGACTTTGATTTTCATAGTAACGGTTTCTTCATTTTTGTCCAAGACAAATCTCTAAAACAGTTACTTGTCCTCTTCAATTTGATTTTTTAATCTTCTCTGATTTATGAGGCCTGAAGTTATAGTTCATTTTGGCAGATTGAAATTAGTGCAGCAGAACCTATGGAAAGGTAAACTGTAGGAAAGACAGACCCAAACTGTGCTACGAGTGGGAGTCTTCAGTCACTGATGAAGACTCCTTAATTTCATTAGCAGGTTCCATCAACATTTTAAACTGTGGATTAATCCCTTCTGAGGCAATTAGATGGTGTGATGCATCATGTGTGTTTTTCTACCAATAAAAGTAGTGGATGCACATTTACAATGCATATGAAACTGCATCTTTTTAGATTTACAAAAACTTAATATGGTGCCTGACACTAGTGTTCACCTTTAGAATCCCTGACAAATTCTTTTGGTTTTCTTAGCATAGACCACCTCCAATATTGCCCCCAGGGTCTGATAGCCTCCCCTTCCCTAGTGCTTGCTTACAGGGCTGCCAGCCTCTCGTGCCTCTATTCGAACTTGTCCACCCTCCATGCAACCACATGGCCATCTGCCTTGCTCTGCAGTTTATTCACTTGGTACACTCCATCCTTCAGATCCAGGTACAAACTTCGGGGGCTAGGATTGGTTTTCTTGAGCATGTCCCAGCCCTGGGACCAGGCCTGAGTATAGAGCAGTGCAGGGTGGTTGTGTAGTAGGTAGCCCCTGCTCCACCACTTGATTCATGACCAGGAGTGACTGCTGCCTCTGTGTTGTTGCTGGACACGGGGCCCAGTTCTGACAGGTCCACTTCCGGAAGACACACCTCATCTACAAATGGCGGCACTTGCCCCAGTGGCCATTTGAGCATGAGAGAATGTGGAGGCAGTACCTGGCTGACAGGTGTTCAACAATGAACGCTAAGGCGGGTTATTCATTTTCATCAGGCAGGACATACTGTCCAGCATCAAGGTGACCACTGGCTTCTGAGGTTGTCAACTAGAAACATCTGGGTTAACTAGAAATCTACGTATATCAGAAAGAGCTTCTTAAGTCCATGTATGTGTAAATTGTCTTGACTTGCAAAACTAGCTAAGATACTTTCATCTGGGGACAGTGGAAGAGAATAGAGAAGTCTGAGGTATGGGCAACTGGGCTTCCACATGCTGGCTATTCGAGTGTGGGGCCAGGCACTGGGGTTGGGGCCTCCTCCACATTGGGTCTGCTAGCCTGGGCAGCTAGGGAACACGGAGTGGGAGACCTCTGGGGTTTCATTCTGCTCCATGGACTGGGGTCTTCTGATCCATCCTAGCTCTTAATCTCAGTACAGCTCAGGCTTTAGCACTGACAAGGCTGATTAATCACTCCCTTTTTTGTAGGTAAATACTTTATAGCAAGGATCTCTGCTAGGACATGTCTCTTGGAAATCCCGATAGGCTCAGTAAGAAGGACATGAATCCTGGGCATGGAGGGGCTGGGGGCACGGATACTCCACCCTGAGAGCCTAGGCTCTGCCCTGCCAGACCTCCAGGGTGCCAGGCAGGCTGGCTGGGGCTTGTGCAGTCACTCAGGACCTCATGAATAGGCCACGAAGGATTACCCACTCCCATGGTATTAGCCCTAGGTCCTTCCAACCACAGGGCTACCCACAGTGAACGTCTTCCCCTTTGGAAATCTGAAAGGGAGTCCATGACCACGGGACTTCTAACTCATGAGGAGTCCATCTGAGAATAAAGTGGCCACAGGAGCGCCCAGGGATACCCAATTATCCCACCACCCTGCAGGCTGGGCAGTCTGGCACTGCTCAGAAGACACAAGTAGATGTCCAAATGCTGTCGAAGTACTCCCTGGCTCTAGGTTGCAGGCTGCAGGCTGCATGCTGTGGGTCCCTGAGCTGTCTGCTTGAGTGCAGGAACAAGGGGGTTGGGGGGGGGGCGGACCAAAGAAGGTTTGAGAACTGGTTCCACCAGCCCTGCTACACTACGGGGTCTTTTGGCCTGTGGATAGGTGAGCCCTGCTGTGTGCAACATGGGCCACATACTGTAAACTGCCATCAGGCCAAGAGTGGTTCCTGGCCTCCTGTTCTTGGTCTTGCTGGCATGTCATAGTGGCCACAGGCATTTGGTGTCACTGTTGTCCCTGAGAAATTCCTTGTGTGGCATTGCTGTGACCCCAGCCCCAGCTTTACACTCTGCTGTGCATGTGCATGCCCAGTGGAGGCACCAGTGCCCGGGTCCCTTTGCTATCCCTCCTCCTTTAATTGGCTTGGATGGAAAGAGGTCCTTGGAGGGACCATAATTTCTCAAAGCAGTAACATCCCAGGCTCAGCACAGGGCACAGGGAAACTTGAAGCTGACACACTGGTCCTAGTGGAGCTGGCACAGGTATAGGACTCTGGGCATTGCCCCCTGACTTACCCGGGCTGCAGTGGGCTAGACCTACTGCTGGTGGGGAGCCTCAGGGACACTGTTCTCATGGGTGAGCAGGTGTAAGGAGCAGGCCCTTCCCAGCCACAGGGAGCCCTGGTTCGTGGGCCCCCCGCCCAGCCACTTTTTTTTTTTTTTTAAGATTATTTATTTATTTATTTGACACAGAGAGAGAGAGAGCACAAGCAGGGGAAGCGGAAGGCAGAGAGAGAGAGAGAAGCAGGTTCTCTTCTGAGCAAGGAGCCTGATGCGGGGCTCGATCAGGACCCTGGGATCATGACCTGAGCCAAAGGCAGCCACTTAACCAACTGAGCCACCCAGGCGCCCCTCACCCCAGCCACTTTTCAAAGATTTTTTTTCCATATACAATTGCATCTACGCAATGAATTTTCCTCTAGCTCCTTACATTAAAAAATAAACTTTTAGAGCAATTAGGAGCAGTTCCTATTGCTCCACAGCTCATTACATTTTAAACTGCCTTTAAAGTGCAGACTTGAAGGCCAGAATTCCTCCCATCGTTTGCATCATGCCGTCATTGTTCCCTTGCTGCATCCTTGGCTAGGATGCAGTCTGTGGTG